ACCCCTGCGTACCTTGGTTGGGACGCTGTGTGAATCTGGTGAGGGCAACGACCGGATGCATTGGAAGTGAAGTCAGGAGAAAAAGTAGATGGAAAAATTGAAAGGAGAGTTAAAAAGTGCTTGAAATTGCCGAGCAAGAAGTAGATGGAGCATAGGAGAAGAAGGTCAGTAAGAGGGGACGAGTCAGATGGGCCTGGGCAAGGGAACTGGCTACATACACTCGGAGAAAAAAAAAAAGAAAAAAAAAGGTAACCTAGAATGTAGTATTTTTCTTCCTTTCCCTCTCCCTCTGCTTTAGCGTAATCCCGACTATATTTCACACACATCCTTATTGATATAAATTTTGCAAGCGTGACAAAATCGCTCTCTAATCTAAACTTGTGGACTTAGCGCGGTCGAGACGATAAGCTAACGAGTGTGGGCATGCATGGAGGTGAGTTCGGGGCTGGGCGATCCGACGAGCTGGTGGTGAGTGTGCGGGGTTGACGTGTGACCGCGACGGACTGCGGGGCACGGACGAACCTGGCGTGCATACTCGGGCTAAGCTGGATGGCAACTCTGGGTTGTTGGTAGGTGTGAGGCGACGGACTGTCGGCATCGGAGTAAAGAGGAGGATGGTGAAGTGGTGAGAGCGCGCAGAGCGCTGGGGTGTGTGTGGACTTCTCTCCTTGCCTTCTAAGAATTTAGGTTTTGGCTTCCACCATTTTAGCCTTTGTAATTTTCGATTTTCTGTACGATTGTATGACTTACTCCTTTCTTCGGAGTTCTCTCGTATTTCTTTCTTTTATGGATGATGTCACAAGTAATGATTGCGGCCGGATCGTCCACTTTTTGCGTGCATAATCCCCGTTTATGTCTGGAGATGGAATGATTGGGGAACGTGGGTGCACGCCTAGCCTTAGCCCATGGGAATTGGAGGGAAATAGAGAAGTTGGCTGCCTCGATTCGCGTTACGAACGCCAAACGGATATCGAGCCACGTGTATACGTTACAGTCGGCCAATAAACCGGTCTGTCCCGTGTACACGAGGCACCCACGCCCGGGCTGTGGGAGGGGTATACTTTTGCATGGGTGGGAACATGATTGCATCAAGATGAATTCGTAGCTTGGAATTCAGTGTCCCTTCTGGAGTAACATATCGTGATTGCTTGAGGGACTGTTAGTACCTGGAATGTCGGGGAAGCGAATATTTCTCTCACCAATTGCGATCGGATCTCCCCGACTTCCTGCAGCAGACGGGAGATGAGTGTGTATGCGAGTGGGATATGCAGCAAGCCATAGGCCACAACCCCCAGATCCGGCAATATCCCAGGACGCAGACGTTTTAGGTTTTCGCTGAGCCCGGGTTCGTCGTCGTAGAAGCTGAGTTCCCTCCCCACTATCTTATTCTCCCCTGTCACCATGTAACCAGATCATGTGGACGACCTGGGTACCTGGCCGAGGCAGCCGTGAGCTGAGAGCTGAGAGCTAAGTTCCCTCCCCACTATCTTATTCTCCCCAAACTCGGTCGTCCTGGGTACCTGGCCGAGGCAGCCGCGAGCTGAGAAAGTCTCCTTTCCATTCGAACCTCTTTGCATTTTGATCCTTGGAACTTTGACACAGGAGATCCCAATTCTGACCTGGGACTCCACCCACTTTCCTAATATCCTTGGCACACCCCCTTTTTCACACTTCACGACCGTCTCCCACGCCGATCAGGAAGTCGCACTGGGCGTGAGGTTAGGGCGTCATAAGACACCTCCTTTGTCCAAGGCTTTGGCGAGCAACCACTACCTCGAGCCGCAAACCTGTTGCGGTGTCTTAGTACAAACGACACAACCACACTGTGACACCCAACCTCACGCCCAGCGCGACTTCCTGATCGGAGTGGGATGGGGCCCCGAAAGTGCGAAAAGGTGTGTGCCAAGGATTTTAGGAAAGCGGGGGTGGAGTCCCAGGTAGGAACTGAGATCTTTTTCTGGCAAGTTTCGGGGGTATAAGCGCAAGAGGGTGTGCGTAGGTCGTATTTGGCGCTTTTAATTTTCGTAAGACGGAGGGTAGACCACCTCTCGGGGCTTGTGCACAAAAGGGAAGCCGCAGATGTCATGCAACATAAGGCAGATGGCATGCATAGTGCATCTCGGACTAAAGATCCCAGGGTACTTTTCCACAATCACAGCACTGACAGATCTAAACACTCTTGCATTCTCGAACAAAATCCCAACAACATTGCCCCTGCCAACGAACTCAATTTTCAAGCCTTAAAGATGGGAATCACCATCTTCTCTGGTTTCGCCTTCGTGGCTGGTCGCGCGGTTCAACCAGTTGTTGGCGCAGCTCGGCCTCAGTTCGGGCTCGCCGAGCGATTTCCGAGGCTCGATAGGCCTCGTGCCACCGACATTTTTCGCACGGTGTGCGGGGCCAATAACGGGCTATGGAATTCCACGGCACCACCATTAGTTGGTGATATCGAAGGAGGAGGTGAAAGGGAGGGAAACTGGTGGTAATAACGACGAAGCCAGGGGATATGAAATATTGCGTGTTATAAGTATCTGGGTAGTCGGGGCCCCTACGATCGTTAGTTATGGCACTGTGAAAGTCCCTTGTGCACAATCGATCGTTTTCTGTCCGACAAGGGAATTCCGGATTCCTTAAGTTCCCCCGCCGTCTGAGTTGTTAACCCTCAAAGTATTCGTGGTATTCCGGATCCCTCAGGCTCTCACGATCAGACATCCATGAGGGAAATTCCGCAGCCATATTCGTTTAGCAACCTCAGTCCCCTGCATCCTTATACGTGGTCCAAGGCTGACTCACACAGACGAGCGCGTACGTGGCGACTCGGCTTCCTCGGGATCGAGGTCGTACGTGAGCGTGCACGTGAGAAACAACGGATTGGTTTAGTGTGCCGATCGCGTTCGACATATATACAAATACCCTATTCCTGCTATGTCGGGTGAGATCCGATCATTACATACCATACATGTGACAAAAAAAAAAGGGGGAAGGAGGGGACAGGACAGTCAACTTCTCATGACACTCTTGGTGATCGAAAGTTAACGACGAAACCAAAACATCCATAATCGAGGCGATTTACAAGAGAAGTCCAAAAAAAGGCCGCAATAAAATCGACCATATCCGAATCCAAAATTATACAGATGAACAAAAGAAAAGAAAGGGACAATGGGAAGAACCTCATCCCACACTTACAACTACTCTCTCTCTCTCTCTCTCTCTACCCCCGATGCAGGTAGTTCGTCGCCCCGGATCAACACAGAGTTGTCACTCCGCTTGGTTCGAGCACGCAAGCCAGGTTCGCCCGTGTGCCACAGTCCGTCGCGGCGCCGCACGTCAACCCCGCATACCCGACACCAGCTCGTCGGATCGCCCAACTCTCGCACTCACTCACCTTCCAAACTTGCTCGTTAGCCGACCCTCACTGATCGTGCTCACCTCGAAATTCTTAGAGAGCAAACTAATCGCGTTTGCAAAATTTATAGCATGCATGCCTGCGTGAGAGGTACGGGATTAAGCCCAAGTGGACAAAAGGAGAAGAGCGGAAGTGCCTACATCTACATGGCCAAGTTGCGGCTTGGGGGTCGTAGCCACACTCCACGCATCGATCCGGTCATGCAGGTGCCCTGGCCAATTAGAACAGGGTATGCGCGGCGAGAAGAAGGAGAAGGCGGGTAAACACGAGGAAACCAAGAAAAAAGAAAGATACAGTTACAATCGCGCCCGCCAAAAACGACAGCTACTAGATTAAGGGCGCGATCCAGTCAGAGCCCGGCTCCCAGTGCAGCAAGATGCGTGCAAGCGCGGCGCTGCAAAATTCAAAGTACCTAAATTTCTAGCACCTTCCAAAAACGACAGCTACCGGATTAAGGGCGCGATCCAATCAGAGCCCAGCTCCCAGAGCAGCAAGATGCACGCAAGCGCGGCGCAACAACATTCAAAGTACCTAAATTCCTAGCTTAAGTCCTAATTGCAAAAGAAAATCTCAAAAAAGTGAAAAAAGATAAACAATTCCATGATCCCGTGGGGGATCGACATCAGTTGAAAATTCAAAAAATGATATTCTCGCGCGATGATCACGCCAAAATTCCCAGCGCTCACAACAGAACAAGAAAGAAGCTATGGTATAGTTATTTCTCGCGCTCGCCAAGGAGCGGCTACCCAACCGTTGGCACGGGATTTTCCCGACACCAATCCGACAACTGGACGTCTATGCAATTTGCCCGCCCGACCTATCTTCCCGCAACTCACTCATCTGACCCGTCTCATTTCCCCAGGCAGCTTCACGCAGAAAGTCGCACAATTACAGAAAATGGTTCGTCACATATGTGACGCCCAGGGGGTTCCAATCTTGAGCAAGCTCCCACTTGCTCACATACTTCATGCGTCGATCTATTAACCCGACGATCGACGTGGAGATTGCATGTGCCACTTACCATAGGATCTGAGTGTGGAAGTCATCGGGCGTGGCATACATGGGCTCGATCCAGAATATTGTCGGGGAAAGGCAATCTAATTACTGGTGGGGGAGGTGGTGGATAGACTTGGGGGAGAGGAGGCATGGAGCGGTAAATGTCCTCGTCACTAAAAGGAAGTGGGACGTAATGAATGGAGCGATGGATGAGGGGAAGGAGAGGGTACCGACGTTGATGGGGGAGGGAGGTGAGTTAGTCAGGGTAGAGGGTGCAGAGGGTGCGGGGGATGGCAGCGCGAAAGTCATCATATTCTTCGCACACGGGGATCGTGCCCGCGACAACGCAGTAGGCCTCTATATTATTATACTCCCGCCAATCCACGCTAAAGAGGAGGACGTGGAGGGGGAAGGAAGTGACGAGTGAGCGAGTAGTAGCATGCGGGGAGAGGGTGACCAGAAGGCGGGTGGCGTAGCGGTGATAGAAGAGGGAGAGGGGAAATGGCTGCCATGTATCAGGGAACGGGGGTCGGTCTAGGAGCTGCTGGACGGTGAGGAAGTCACGAGGACGACGGGATAATGACCGGGGACGAAGCCCGAGCGCCCGCATCTCGACGTAAACGAAGGGTTGCGGGTCAAACTGGGGAGGATTGGGAGGGCGATTGACTTCTTCGGAGGCGCCGGCTTCTTAATCCCTCCGCGATGGCGCCTCCATCTCGTTTGTCTTCCTCCCGCAGCAGTTCAGGATTGCGTCCCGGATCATCCTGCAGCAGTTGCGGTGGTGGCCCTCCTGATTCTTCGATCGGCCGCTTTTCTTCCACTGCCGCCCGTCTCCTCTGCGCCACAGCCTCTCCTTCCTCCCAGCTCAGCTCGTCGGGGCCGCTTGACTCCCCCACTTTACCTTCTTCTTCCTCTGATTCCGCTCGCCCTGAACTAGCCTCCTCCGACTCGGCGTCCTCCGATCCTTGGTAATCGGGATCGGATTCCCGATCTTCTTCCTCTGCCGATACTTCTTCTTCGTCGTCGTCCTCCTCTTCTTCACTCATCCCTTCTGCGGGAGCGCGCCAGATGAGCGGGTCCCACGTGGAAAGATCGGTGATGTCGACGTGTAGATACGCACCCGTCGAGGGCACGCAATAACTTTCCTCCTCCAGTTTCGTACAAGTGGACCAAAGAAGATGCGGCTCGAGGGTACGAGTAAGCGTGGTTGTCCCTGATCTCTCGTCACAGTGCAAGAGGATCTCCAACGGCAGGTCGTCGAGTACTTGGGTTAGAAACACCAGCAGCTCGTCCGTTATGGAACTCAGATGACCGTTGCGCACTCCTCTAAACACGATCCCAAAAAGATCTCCCTCCGTGTTTGTTCTCCACCCTTGGATGAGCAGCAAATCTACCTCGTCGTCCGGGATCTCGTCCTCCACACTCCTGTCCATGGGTTCCGCCCAATGGAAGGCGACCTCAAGGAGGCAGAAATTGAGCACCACACGTAGGTTTGCCACCAGTGCGTCCACTTGACCGCGTCTAGAATCGACACATCTAATGGCTTGATCGTGAAGGAGAGGGACGCTTCCGCGGCGGATTGCCAAAACGTGGGGATGTTAGACTCATGTCAGAGGGGAGACTAAAGGTAGAGAGGCGACGACGGTTCATTGAGGCCGAGCAAAGGGACGAAGCACAGGAAGGGTGACCTCTAGCGCGATGGAGGAGATCTGAAGCTGAAGATCGATGTCGTTCGTTGTTACGACAGGATCGCGCAGTTGGGCCAATAGTAGCACCCACTCAGTCGTGATGCGTGCTTCCCAGTCTCGCAGCTGTCGGAGGATGGCGGTGTGTCGTGATGGATGCAACGTCGTGATGTCGCCTGTGAAGACGACAATGACCGACACGTGGCTCTCGCCGGGTGGGGACAGGCGCAACAAGGCTTACACCTCGGCCAGCACTCGTGCCACCCCGGACTGGCTGAACTGGAATTTTGTCGCAGCGTGGATGGCCGCCGTACTGAAGAAGGCTACGAGTCGGAGAAGATCTGGACTCAACCGAGGATGTCGTACTTGCCGGATCGTCGAGAAGGCTCCCCCCGATACCATTAGTTGCTCGCTGATCACCTGCTCTGTCGAAAAGCTCATGACGATGGAGGCGGGGTCGAAGACGATGGTTGAGAGAGAAAGGAGGATTCTAAACATCCAAATCCCGCTTCCGTCCGTTTTTCGTTTTTCTAACCGTCCCCCATTCCATCGGTAATCCCGAGCCCTCTCGTTGGCCCATCTCCAGTCCTCCTTGGTGAACTCTCGTAGAGGGTTTCCAACCACCGTAGCTATCAGGACGACATTTGTCCATACTTCAACCCTTCTTAACCGTCAGGTCTTTTCTAGTCCTTCCGACGTGGCTTCGAGAAATCAGGCCTCCATCGGGATTTTGTCGGTGTGACGCAAAGGACACAGCCACGGTTTGTCCACATTCCGATACTGGATACCCGTGAAACACATCGCTGATAGTCTACCCATTCGACATATCCTTCCCCGCTTGGTCGCAAAGAGACCAAATAGACTCTCGAAATGGCCTCGCAAAAATGCAAAACTTGCCAGGGAGGGAGGAGAAGGAGGACGAGAGAGGAGAAAGGGGACCTTCGGGATTACCTCCGCACCCCATTGCCATCGTGTCGATCACCCCTTAGGAGCTCGAGGAAGGATCATGGCCACTTGTCCGTATGATCGCTCGTTGGTTGGTTCCGGTTCCTTCCACGGGGTAATCTCCTCCCCTTTTGTCACCTTGTCGGGTCGATGCAGAGGTGTCAAGCCGTCAGCGTTCCCGTGTTTCTCGGTCTTCCGGTGGATGATATCGGATATCGAAGTCGTACTTTTGCAGCCGTACAGCTCAGCGTCCAATCATGCCCATGTAATTGGTGAGCCTCTTGAGGGCCAGCAAGGGCTCATGATCCGTGACGAGGAGGGACTTCTGCCCGTAGAGATACAAATGAAAATGCTAAATTCCCCAAACCACTGCGTAACACTCTCCCTGAGGGGCTGAATCGTTTCTCAGTTCATCAGGCCTTGTTCGCGAAGCGTATTCAATGACATGTTCATGACTGTCTTTCCCCTTCTGGGCTAGAATTGTGAAGATCGCTTCAGACTGCCAATCCGTAATGAGTATGTACTGCTTCGCGGGTTCGGTCAGATCAAAATAGGCACAGTAACTAGGGCTTCCTTCAGAGTGACAAAGGCCCACCCGCACTCAGTGTCCCAGCATAGGGGCTGGTCCTTACGCAGAAGGTTCATGAGAGGTCGTGTGATCGTCGTAAAACCCTTGATAAATTTGCGGTAGTATGACAACAGTCCCAAAAAAGGCCGAACCTGTGTTAGTGACGTAGGCATGGGAGCCTCTCGGACCGCCGCGAGCTTTCTCAAATCTAGCCTCAAACCGCCTCGCCTCACTACGTAGCCCAAAAACGAGATTTCCAAGAGGAAGAACTCGCTCTTTTCCATTGCAATTTTGAACCCAGCGTCCCGCAGCGCTCCCAACGTTCATTCAATATGTTGCACATGCCCGTGAAAAGAATCCGAGTAGACCAGAATATCATCCATGTACACGATAACGAAGAAACTAATCATACCCTGCGTAAGTCGAGTCTTGTTAACGAAATTCTAAAAGGTCACGTTCATGGCCCTTTGGAATGTGGCTGCTGCATTGCAGATTCCCATCGGACAACGAATCCACTACCATGTGCCCTCGGATAAAACGAAGGTAGTCTTCGACTGATCCTCCTCCCTAACCAAAATGTGATGAAATCCGTGGCGAATATCAAACTTACTAAAATAATTTGCACACCCAATCACATTCAATAAATCATCAATCCGGGGAAGGGGATACACATCCTTGATTGTGATATCATTCAACTTCCGGTAATTAATACAAATACGAATCGACCTGCTCTTTTTCGGGACTAAGACCACGGGAAATGACCAAGGTCAGGTTGCTGGTTCAATCCACCCGTTTACCTCGAACTCCCGGATCCTTTGTATCGCAATTCTTCTTTCTGCGAGAAAATATCGGTATGGCTTACAGTGAATCGGGGGATGCGTTCCGGTTTCAATCTCGTGTTAAATGACTAAAGATAATCCAATATCCGTATCCATTACACTAATCGCCTCCTGATATTCAGTCAGGATATCCACAATCAGTCGATGGGTTTCGTTGGGTACATATTGAGGCATATGCACTTCGTACGGCTTTCCGTGTGTGGTAACCACCACGTGTTTTGTGTTCACCTTGGGGGAGCAGAAATGAAGGAGTCATCCGACCACCAGGAGAACACGGTGGCGAGTCTGGCGACCATCTGAGCGTCTTCTTCCCGAATAGCCACCTGTTCTTCCGGGGTCACACCGTCGCTAATATCTTGCCAGGGAACTGTCTTTTCGGCGATTTTGACCTCAAGCTCGTAAAGCGTAGAGTCACCGCGCCCAGGGGGTTCCAAAGTTTCGCTTTCGGCTCCTAAGCGTAATAATTGCACCTCCTTATCGGGTGAGAGTAAGGAACGAGGCAGCCCTGAGATGTCGCAAAACACCTTCTTCTCTCTGTATCTCGAGAGAAGCGGGGTCGTGGCTTCGTACAGGGTTCGAGGGGGTTCCAAATAGTCAATCATCCGGGACACTTGTACGAGGGGTTCTCCAAAAATCAAAGTACGGGTCCTTTGCATGTTTCTTTCCGTAAGGACAAATGTTTTAGGAGTCTTCTGTTGGATTGGGATAGCGAATCAGTTGCCAGATCGTGTCGGGATCGGCTTCATTTTCACTATCGGACTCGCTGGGGGAAATACGTTCCTCATCCTCATACTCGAATTTCCGAGTTGGTTGCCCCCAGGTGATTACTCGGAAAGCGACTCCAGGGTCTAAGAAATTTTCTAAGTCAGGGGCATCATGGTCCGCAGAGTTAGGCGCATTGGAATAACATACGGTTTCGCGCCTGTACTTCGCAGGATTACCGATCGTCGTTCGAAGTCCCGATTGGCCCGCAGTACGACAAGTGCCAGTAATTCCAGAAGTACATCGTAGGTATTAACATCCAACACTACCAGGCTACCACATCCCCTACATGAATCTTTCCCAACCGAATTCGACATTTGTCATTCTTCCCACTACTTTTATCTTCTCTTCATCCGCCGAGACGAGATGATCTTTCTCGGTTAACGTGATCAGATATTTTTGTGTCTTGCCTTTTCTACAACCCTTAGTGATATGGCAAAAACAGTTGCTCCTGAATCGATGACATGATTGTACCGGGCTCCCCATACTTCGATGTTACATTCCACGTATTTCCACGGAATGGCTTTAATGCGTAAAAAAATATCGTATTTTTGAATTAGTCCCAACCGTATTGGGTCTGACGTGCTAGGCTTTTCGAGCTTGTCATCGGGAGTTGGGGTCTTTCCTTTCGTTATTGTCAGTTTGCTAAGAGCAAATCGTTTTCTGTTTGCCTTGAAATGCTGCAACATGCGTTCATTAGCCTCTTCGGGTATAGACAACAAATGGCCAATTGGCAATGGAATCCGGTGGTCTAAGGCCCGAACAATGTTCAAACTTCAAAACGTCGATTTCTCCTGTTACGAAGGAAGGACCGCCCGACTCCATTTCGTTTCGGGAAGGTTTCCATTCGGCTACTTCCTTCCGCTCATTCGCCGGTCGGATGGTTCCGATCATCCCTAACCCTGGATATCCTAAGGCGATATATTGATCGAGCGGGATAAGTTTCGCTGCTTCCTCCGTAGTCGCTATCATGCTTCCCCCGGCTTCTATTTCTTCAAGCATCGTTCCTACTCTTCCTGGACCGTTGGCCACTGGCGCAGCGGCCACAGGAGCAACCCCGACTCTGGCGACTCGAGCTTGCGTAGGCCGATGTGGCCAGTCCCGGGCGATATGGCTCAGCTGATGACACGTGTAACAGACACTCAGATTGGCTGCCATCCCTCCCACTAGTTGATTGGGGACAGTGCCTTGTGCCGCAGGGGCAACTCTAACAGCAATGGGGGCGCATCGATCACATCAAGGATTCCATCCGAGCGTTAAACTTACGTTGTTCCTTCTTGCTTTCTTGTAGTAGGCTGATTAAACTCTGGGTCAGTTCGAACATCACATTTGGATCACCGCCCCTGCTCGTCGCCTCGGGAGGGGATGCAAGAACGGGTACGACATGTACAGGAGTGGTCATCGCGGGCATTGACAAACCCGTAGTTGCGTCTGCCCCAGGTTTCTTGGTTACGATATGTTGCAAATAGGAAACGGGACTAAAGACAAAACCCATGCTTTCGAATTTATTTTGAAGCGCGGCCAGCTCGGCCCTTGCTCTAGCTAGCTCTGAGGAGTCTCCCTTTCTAGGATAATTTTCCCCTTCTAGGAAGCTGGCTGCGAATTTCCACTCCATTTCTTCTGCCCCAGACATAATTTGTTGTAGAGTATGGTTGATCGGGGAGAACTGTTTTCACAATTTCACCCTC